GAAGAGGAGGAGGAGGAGGAGGAGGAGGAGGAGATTCAATTCTAACAAAGAAGAAAAAGGGGGAACGCCGTCCAAAGAAAAGGGTGGGGGAAATAAAAGTGAGTAAGGTGTGATGTGTGATCTGATGTGATGGGATTCCGCCGATGAACCAAACAATAGCTCCCGGTATATGTACTGTACGATAAAAGAAAAGGGAGGAGAAGGGAAAGAAAAGAAGGGTAATCGTCGTGATGTGTCTGTCTGGGTTCAACTACTCAGAAAAGGCTCCAGCCTCGACTTCTCTCTTTGGAACCGGTCGAACTCTGTTGTTGTGCCGAACTTCGGGACCGTCCCTCCAGCTGGCGGAGACTCTCGATCTTCTGCAGCGCGAGCTCAAGCATCTCTTTCTTCTTGATCACGTCGAGGTGTCTCCGGATCCGCGGATCCTCTCGCGCAAATCGCTCGACTTCCGCATCAGAGAGACGCCGGCCCAGTCGCTGATCCAGCTCGCGGGGAAAGTTGTAGTAGAACTCGGACAGCAGCTCGACATTGAGGAAGAGAACGGCCGTGGACGTGAGCTTGTCCGCGACCACATCCAGGAAAACTTCCGGACAATAGTACTTGTTCTTCAGGGAGGCACATTGTTTCGAGCGGATGGCGTGGAGCCTCATCTTGATGAGTTCGGCTCGATCGCGGAGGAAGATACCCTCACGGCCTGATTATGGTGAGCTAAGTAAGGCCAAAAAAAAATTCGAATGTCAACAAACCTTTCTGCAGCAATGCAGCGCTAAATCCTCCTGCACCCCCGGCGCCGTTCCCTTCTGGAACAACCTCGCCTTTCCGGACTTTGTCAACGAAAGCCATCACATCCCTCAGCTTCCGCCTGCCGACGCTCTCTTCGACCTGCTTAAGAGCAGCCTCACAGGCTTGGAGCTCCTGTTTCAGCACCTTGGATACGTTTTCCCGTCCCTTTGCCCATTCTGGCTCTTCGACCTCGATCTCGTACTTGTACGGCTTGATGCAATTCTCGACCTGGTCGCTAGTGCTAAAGAACCGGTCGTTGAGGATGGTGTTGCAAGCGTCCATGATCGCCTTTTGGGCATATGGATGCGCTGAGAATGTGGACGCGGCCACGAGACGTTGAACATGGCTCTGCAGTGCACTGGCAACCACAGTAGTGGCCAATCGGCCGACACCCAGTTTCGTAAGATTAGAAGTTGAAGCGTCGAGTTTCCGATGCCAATACAATGAGTCGGGATCGGCTTTGGGGAGGTCACTGAGCGGGTCTGGCTCAGGAGGAGCGGCCGACAGATCCTCGATAGGCTTGTTCCAATATCTTTGCGCAAGGATGTCCATGACCCGCTGATCTAGTTCGTTCTTCAGCAATTCTCGAACCTGAGGACGGCCAAAGCTCTCCGCGAATTCCTTGAAGGAATGCTTGAAGCTGTCTAGACTCTCAGCCAGATAAGATTGCGCGCTGAGAGGACGGTCATTGTACTGGACTTTGAATTCATAGGTCGCTTCTTCGAGTTCCTGGCTGATGGCATCCCTCGTACCGGCCAGACTTCTCGCCATGGTTTGTTCGAGAACCTGCATCAGCTTTTTGCGAAGAGTCGGCACCCCGACTGACACGTCGGATCCGGGGCCGAATTCTGCCGGGTGTGCTGAAAAATAAGCATTCTCATTTTTCACGATCGCGTTGGTTATATTGCCACTTCCGCGAGAGAAGAGGGCGGTCGTTTGAGGAATCCGAGACACCACGCCCACGTAACCCAGTCTAAGGGGGTATTTCTTATCGGAAAGCATGCTGTAACCTCGTTCCGGATCGACCAAATCCATCTTCGTGATCACTCCGATCGTTCTCTCGCCCCGTGGGTCCACTCGGCGGCTGGCTCGGAGGGCGGTCGAATTGGCCAGGTCAACATCCGCAGCGGAAATGGCCAGAATGATATTAGGTGCTTGGATGTATTTGTCGCAGAGATCGGAGATTTTCTGTTTCAGCTCAGCTGGTTGGTCGCGACCGGCAACTTGTATATACCCAGGAAGATCGATGAGAGAGAGATCCGGAACATGCGGAGAATAGATGTGAAGCCGAATAGGGTCATCACTGACGCAGTCCTTTTCGGGCACAGCCAGGTTGAGATCCGTCAGCGTGCGCTGGATCTGGGAGAAATCGGTGATCTTTCCCAGGCCGAGAGCTGGGAATTCTCCGTACTCCGTCTGGGCGTTGGGAGTGTTGATCAGCGTGAGTTCGATCGGTCGGCGCGTCACCATGTTCTGGCCCTTTGGCAGAAACTCGTGACCGACAATGGCCTCCAAAACAGAGCTCTTGCCAGACGATTGAGATCCAATCACGACGATCGATGGCAAGGTCAGAGTGTTGGATTGCCCAACCTGCTGCAATATATTCCGGATCTCGATCATCTTCCGCGTCAGAACCATCATCTGGTCATCTTCAGCCTCGGTGTGGAGCCGTGAATCATCATCGTCAGCCTGACTGTAGCCGAAAGCCGTCCCAGTGGCCGCTCCAGCGGCAGCAGCACCAACGCGACTCTCTTTGGGAGAGCCACCACCACCGTCAGAACTGCCGCCTCCAGACTCGGACTCTTCATTCAGGCGAAAGATTCTCTGCATCCACTCCGGAAACTCGATCTCTTCCTTTGTTTTCTGCCAGCCACGATGCGTTTGTGCCGCGACATCCTGAAGCCCTTGGAATAGACTCGTCGCAGCGTCACTAGCGGTCTCGCCGGCCTGTTTAAGCATGTCCAACGCATAGTTCCCGGCCTCTACGTAAAATGAATTCAGTCAGCCAAGTTCCAACTCCGAAGCCCCAACCTCTGGGCGTTTACGTACGCGTAGCCTGATACTGCAGGTAAGCGATGCCTGCAATCATTGCTCCTCCAAACATCGCCGGGACGCGTGCCAGCTTGATCGCCAGGCGCGGCAGTATCCTTGCGAACGAGATGGACCGCACCGCGGGAACATTGTTGTGGATAGAGCTGGCGCCGACAGGCCAGGCGCGGCCTCGCAACGCCGCATTGCTGTCTGCCCTCAAGAGGCCACCCGCTCGACTGCTGGTGTTGTGCACATAGCGGGCTAGCAAGCCCCTCCGCAGCAGCGGAGTCAGACGATGGGAGAGGATCCTCCCGCTCATGATTGTTGAATGGTCATATGTTGGGGCAGAATGACGGGAGAAAAGTTCACACCATCGCGAGGGCCCGGCCTCGCGGAGGTACTGGAATCAGTCTTTTTTGCTCGACACAGCAGGAGTGCCGCGGTCGAGCAAGCACGAAGTGGCGATGGAAGGGAACGCTGGGGCGTGGCAGATCCGCCCATGGCAAGTCTCCTGAACGCGCGCTCCCCGATCTCCGGCTGCCAAAGCGGTGAGTCACATGTCTGGCTGAAGGGCGGCGATTTCGGCCTCACCGCCAAACAGTGATGGCGTGACGCATATGAGGAAGCGAACAATCCAGGAACATCGGCCAGACGGCATTCTTGGCCTGCATTGATATTATTCGCCTGTCAATGCAAAGCTTCATTTATTGGGCCTCTGGTGTCGAGTTTGTTCTCGTGGCCGTACACTGTGTTTTGTTGCATATATAGACCGGAGCTTCACCGGCGACTGCTTCTGTACTGTCTTATCTGGCCTGTAGCCCCCCTGTCGTCTGTAACACAGCCTTTTCTTCTTTCTTTTTTGTCTTTAGTTTGATTTAATTTTTTTTGCTACACGCTGTCCACTGTTTTAATTCAATTACCCTTCAATATTTGAATCAATTGAAATCCATGTTTTTCGAACAGCAAACTCAAAGCCAGTGACAGCCCATCATGTGTCGTTTTTTGGTAAGGCAGGAACTATATCTGTGGAGAGAAAACAGCAACGCAACTCGCTGACCCTTGTTTCTTTCTAGGTCTACAAGGGCAGACATGAAATTCTACTCAGCAAGCTCGTCACAGAGCCCAGTCATTCAATACTGACTCAATCCTATGATTCTCGCCTGAGATTGGTAAGGTCCAAAAACTTCTATTAGCAATTGTTCCCGGTTCTGACTCGACTCAACAGGACACTCGTCGTCCCGTCAATGGGGATGGCTTTGGCGTCGGCTTCTACCCAGACCCCAAGCTGGGGCCGGAGCCATGCATCTTCACGTCGACGCTACCGGCCTGGAACTGTGAGAACCTGGAGCGTCTGGCGAGCAAAACCTGCTCGAACCTCATCTTCGCCCATGTGCGAGCCACCACAGAGGGCACCCTGGCAGAGAACAACTGCCACCCCTTCCAGCACCACTCGCTGATGTGGATGCACAACGGCAACATCGGTGGCTGGAAGTACATCAAGCGACCGCTAGCCGACTCGCTCGCGGACCGCTGGTACCTGGGCGTCAAGGGCGGCACGGACAGCGAGTGGGCGTTTGCGCTGTTCCTCGACCTGATGGAGAAGGAGGGCGCCGATCCGAGCTCGGATCCGGGCCCGGAAGGGTTTGGACAGGAGTTCCTGCGCCGGGTCATGATCAAGACCATTGCCAAGATCAATGAATTCGTGCGCCAGATCCCCGAGAAATACAACGTGACCGATGTCGAGACGCGGAGCTTGCTCAATTTTGCCGTCACAGACGGGCACACGGTGGTGTGCACCCGCTATGTCAGCAGCAAGACGGATGAGCCCGCGAGTCTCTACTTTTCCTCGGGCACCAAGTGGAAAGAAGGCAAGACGAAGGGTCATTTCAAGATGGAGCGCCACGACAAGGGAGCGGACATTGTCTTGGTGGCCAGTGAGCCCATCACATTCGAGAGACGTAAGTTGAAGCAACCTGCAGAAGAGCATCTCTCTCTCTTTTTTAAGAACATTATTATATTACTATATATGATATGGTCTAGCAGTACATGCTGACATATATACACTATCGTCTAGATAACTGGGTGACGGTTCCAACAAACTCAATCCTGACCATCCACAAACAGACCGTGCTCCTGCATCCAATCCTGGATGAATTCTACAACGATGACCCGAACCACGACCGATCATCTGTCTACGCAGTCTCCAAGGGTCTGGTCAGCCGCGCGCCCGGAGGTACCGTCGCGCCACAAGCTGCCAATGATTCCTTGCCGCCTCCAGCTTGCCATCCGAACTCTAGCTCGCAGACTGCAGAGGAGCATACCAACGGGCGGGCCCGGCTCGATGAGCTGACCCAGAACATCGCCCAGGTCCAGATTGCGTCTTGACCGCCCAACGTGCGTCTTCTGAGTTTTCAAAACTTCTGATTATGTTGGCACCAACGACTCTGTATCAATATACCCTCCGAGACCTATGTGTCCCCGAAAAAAAAAGCGAAAAGTGAGAAGGGCGAAAAAAAATGTTGGCTTTCGTTTTGAAATTCTGATTTTTTTTTGCATGGAAGGAGTTGGACGGAGTTCAAAGGGGAGGGAAGACGCGTATAATGAATAAGGATCGGTCGGTTTTACCGGATTTGGCGTTTGAAAATTGGTGGATTTGGAATGTATCCATATAGAAAGCTGTTTTATTTTCGGGTCACTTTTCTTCTTCTTCGCCTTTGGACTGCTTTTTTTTTATTAGCATGGGTGATTTTGAAAAAACTTTAATAAAAAAATTCTTGCAATGCTGTGTGCGATTTACGTGATTAGGAAGAAGAGCATACCGAGTATAGAGGCGCTTTGCATATCTTCTGCATCTGCTCAGTAGCAAGAGCCTGCCTATAAGCGGCCTCTCGTCCACGGATATGACACAGTCGTGACCGGAAGGAGTGCGATGACTCCTTCAATCGACTCCGCATTGGAGTGACTGGACTTCTTCGCTTTAAACTCTTCTCTTCTCTTCCTTTCTTTGCTGTTCAGACAGACCTTCGTCACCCGTCGTCGCCAGGGATATTTGCGTGCTTGAAGTATTTCATCCCCACCCACGCGACCACCACCCACACCCATGCCATAACCGCCGTCAAGACCATCAGGGCTGGGTAGTATCCAACGATGGGGAGAGTGGGATCGTCTTCGAGCTCCGGAGGCGCATACGGGGTCTCTCCGACGTCCCAGCACCAGCTCCAGACCCCAAAGCAGCTCCCCATGCCAATGACGAACACGAGCCACGTAACGATCAAGATGATCCACCCCCACCATTCCGTCTCGGAATAATCCCACCCCTCCTGGTTCGCCATTTCCACCGAATGGGTTGCGAGCGGGGACCGAGCGCGATGCGTGGTTCGAACCTGTCTCGCCATGGTGTCGGGCTGGATAGGGAAGTACGAGTCCGAGCTCGACGAAGGGGTGGGAACAGGCATGCCAGAGGAGGCACCGTTGCTGCTGCTGCCGGAGGAATTGCGGGGGTAGATTGGATTGTTGAGGCGCGGTAATGACACCCCTTCTTCGTCATCCGTGGTCGTTTCGTCACCCAAGCTGGGACTGGCAGGGTTAAGGTTTTGCTGATGGTGAGAGGTAGATACATTCAACGCAGGACGCTGACGAGGCCAGGAGGGAGCAGAATTGGACTTATCGCAGTCGATACTGCCCCGCGGGGTGATCTCGTTGTCTGGGGAAGTAGGACTGATAGGCGATCGTTGGGGAGAGCCAGCGCCAGCGCCGTAACCACTCGACTCCCCGTGGAAGGTATCCTGGCTCCTGGCGGAGGGACTTTTCTTTTCTTTGGACTCAAGCCGTGTGCCCAGTAGTGCCGTCTTCCTCAGCGAGCCCCGCCTCCTCCGCATCTTTCTCTGGTGCTGCATGGCTGTCGCCATGGCTCTTCCGCTCCTCGACCCAGGGCTGACATCACCGCTGCCGTCGCCATCGAGGCCGGACTGGTCTTTGGGCGCGGTTCCCTCAGTCACTTGGCTCATCCGCAGAAACGACAACTTCGACAGTAACGTCCCTGACAGGCTTCGTTTGTGGCTGTGGGCGCTGCTGGCGCTGCCCGATCGTGCTCTCCCTGAAAGTTGCCCATCGTCGGCCGTCTTAGTACTTGGCGGATGCCCACCTCCATCTTCCATTGAGAGCAAGTGAGGCGCGCTGGAAAATAGCCACCCCTAATGACTCAATGTCCAGAATGACTAAGGAGCGTTTGCTGGTTCGATTCTTCTCGTGTTGACATTGCGATGGAAGGAGTGGAGCTAGATTGGAGCATCCACGGGGTTGTCCTCCAAAGCTTGGCGCCGGCCTTGCCTGGTCGCGACTCGGGCCGACGGGACACCCGCTTTGCCCCTGACTGCCTAGTAATTTATACTACGTACTGTATGTTTGGTCTACCATAAGTTCTAACCATTCGATACTTCCAGATAGTTATCCAATTGGCAAGCTCTTCGACAGGTAGTTCTAGGCTTTGGTGGACAATATACTGAGCACAAGGAGAGGGAAGAGAACTGGGATGGAGAGTTCAATGATATGAGGCGCATACAATTTTGGTCGCAAGACCCTTTTTTGACTTTGGGGGATCGTACACGTACTACAGTCGGATAAACGTCATCGGATGCAATAAGCGGCAGTCATCACATTCATTTGCCATGGCGATGTTCGCCTGCAGCTTGCATTATACTAAAAGGGTAGAAGATTACGATCAAAAGGCATGAAAAGGTCGTCTCACGCTGCCGAAGATGACTGACAAAGGAACCAGGTCGGAACGACGGACGTCTCGAAATAAGAGATGGCAACGGGAAAGAGAACAAAAATGGTATCACAGCCGCCGAGTAAAAGACGGCCCCAGGAGATGATCAAGCATCAGGACGAGATTGCTAGAGACCCCCTAAGATGAACAACTAAATTCCTTTCCATATGAAATTCGTTGCAGCGTTGGCAAAAGGGTTTCATAAGACGCATGAACTGTCCGACAGTGAGCTCTTTTCGTGCGTGCAAGAAAAGAAATCCGGTCTGCTTAATAGGCCATAAACACAAATGAAAAGGTATGAGAGCAAACTAGAAAAGATAAAAATTGTTTAACAGACACCAAAAAAAAGCAGCAGAGTAGAGAGAAGACAGGAAGCAACTTTTTGTTTTCTCAAGAGCACACAAGCATCAAGAGCCAAAAGAAGCTATCAATCAGACACGTGAATACGCTACAGGACCAAAAGAAGGTAAACAGTCCAAGATCAGAGTCGATTTGGGGTATTGGCTGGAAAGACATAGACAATTTCCACTGAAAAAGAAAGATAAGGGGTCGTATTGAAAAGAGGAAAAAAAAAGTCTTGCAAGAAACAGAAACAATCGCTCGAAACCCACTTGGAATAACAATCTGAGAAGCAGGTAAGTACTGATATAAGAAAAAGAAAGAGATGAGATATCAAAATGGAAGGGAAGAACTAAGCGTCACGACACCGTTTCGGATGCAGACAAGGGCTGCACCTCACCGAATTCAGCCGAAAGACAGGCTGCTAAATGAAGCAGTAGTTAAACACTGACTACGCTTGATAGCCTCCAGCGCCAAAGCCGTTTCCGAAGTTGGCATTGGTCGGCTGAGTCCAAGAAGAGCCAGGAACATTTTGGCCGCGACCGTAACCAGCTGCACTTGCAGGCGTCTGGCCGTAGCCTTGTCCGGGCACTGCAGGTGCGGCACCGAAGGTGCCAGCCTGCTGATCCCAACCGCGGCCAGCAGGACCAGGACCTGTAGCGAACTTCATAAGTATGGATTTGAAGCGGTCCTTGCTTTCTAAGGTGCAAACATACCTTGAGGGCTGATTGGGCCCCCCGGGCCACCGTATTGAGAGAAGTAGGGGGCCGCGTTGAAGCCGGGGGCGCCAGCCTGTTGAGCGTTGTAACCATCGAACTGGCCGGTTGGTGGACGATCCTTGCCCCACTGGGAGAGTGTCAGCCAAACAAGCAGATCAAGAGAAGACCAAAAAAAGGAAAAACACATACACTGCACTTGAGCGGACGCCCGTTGACGTTGTAACCGTTGAGCTGACAGATGGCCATGGCAGCATTCTCATGCGTGTCCATTTTGATAAAAGCGAAACCCCGATCAGCCTGCATACGCGTCTCGACGACATAGCCAAAGTTCTGGAACAACGGAACGAGGTCGTTCTGGGTGGTATATGGGGTGAGGTTGCCAACATAACATGTTGTCTGCCACTGGGGAGTCTGGTTGACAACCATGTCGTAACTCTGAATACCATGGGTAGGGAAATGGTGATGACCAAAGGTGTTGGGCGTCATGCCCATGGCTGCCATAGCCTGCTGCTGTGAGATGGAAGGCTGTCCTTTTTGGTTGGCCCAGTTGCAGCGAATGGCACGAGAACCCAGCCATTCACCGTCCATGGACTTAATGGCCTTTTCGGCATCTGCACGCTCGCGGAAGGCAACGAAGCCATAGCCACGGGAGCGACCAGTTTTCATATCCCACATCACACGTGCTTCAGAAACGGAACCAAAAGCCGAGAAGGCCTGCAGCAGGACCTCATCGTTGACTTCGTTGCTCAAGTCACCCACAAAGATATGGAAATGGTTAGACGTGTCCTCTTTGTTGGCGTTGCTGGACTGGTAGGCCCAGTTCACACGGATCTCCTACGAGACTGTTAGGTATGGGCCATAAAGAGCTCCCTTAGAATCCACATACCGACTGATGAATACGACGTCCGTTGAGAGTCTGCATTGCTCTCTCAGCCGCACCGGGGTCGTCGTACTCGACGAAGCCATAATTCAGGCCTTTGTTATGGAACTGTGGCCAACGAGGCGTCAGCATCTCAGCGTTCGGCGCAATCGAGTCTTAGCAAGTGGTGAGAGAAAGAAGGTTGGTTTGTTGAGATGAGGGACAAAGTAAGGGTTTGGTGAAAGAGCAATAGTGGTCGTGAAAGAGGACAGTGAAGTAAACAAAGGTCAAGTGACTGTCTCCGCCGAGCACTCACATTTTTGTCGGGAATAATCTTCACACTCTGCACATGGCCCGTGGTCTCAAAAATCTGCTTCAGAATGTCTTCCGTAACTCTAGGGTCCAGGCCGCCAACATATAAAGCCCTCTTATTCGGCTCTGGAGCAGCACGGCGCACATATCCACCTGTGTTGGTAGGCGACATCAGGTTCCCAGACATTGGGGAGGTAATCGCTGTCGGGATTGGGTTTGTATTCTGCGGAATCACCACGGGAGGCGGGGGCATGTGAGATGGATTTCCTTGGCCATTGCCTTGCTGTTGCTGGCCGGGGGCGCCAGCAGATGGTTGAGGAGGAGGGGGAAGGCTCGAGGAGGTCGAGGGCGGCGCGTTTTCTGCCATGGCGAAAGAAGATCGTGGAGGGTTACGATTAACGGATACAAACTGAGGAAATCGACCGGGAACGTTTATAAGTCAGGTGGGATTCCACACCAGCGCAAAGCTGAATTCAATCGACGATAGAACGACGCAAGACTGTGATGGACGGCCGCAGACAAAGGTGAAAAGCGGTCTAACGGCTAAAACAGGCGCTGAAACTCTGACAGCAAGAACTAAGCGTAGATACGAATCTTCCACAAAACAGACGGTCGGATGAGAAAGAAGCCCAGACTGATGCCGGGGTGGAGAGGAATGACTCGAACAAACGCCTTTCTAGTCAACGCAGATCACGGGCTCTTCCCGTGAATAAACGGGGAAGGCTAGTGATGCGGTTGAGAAAAAGAAACGAAAAGCAAAACAGCAGAAAAAAGGAAGAAAACAACCACTCGAACCCAGCACCAACACAAGCTGCAAAGCAGAGCGTAACAGAGGAAGTGACGTGGCGGACCAAAGAAGAGGTTCTTTATTATTTATGGGGGGTTCGGTCCTGATGGAGCGACAAAAGTGGACGAGAAGTTTGGATGGCAAGAGCCGCTTGAGGGGGGCACGCTAAACCCAAGCTGGTTAGCCCCGCCCTCCGCAAGCTCTCCATAGTCGCCTGCTCCGGAGGCCGCGACCATTGCGAGATGCATCGTTCTTGGCGGCCTTGCGCTGAAAGCCATCGTCGCCAGTGTTGGACGGCATGGGATGGCAGGAAAACCGGTTTCGCATTGAGCCTGGCCAGGTGTGAGCTTGGCAGAGAGTGTCACTGCACACGTGCTTAATCCCTCCATGAACATTCCAGTCTCTCCACCTGGAAAGGACCCATTCCTTTCAAAGAACGTCTAATCAGACCGTCTGGCATGTTGCTGTGCCTGGCTATCATCTTCTCCCACTCTTCTACTTGTGGCTGATATCCTAATTTGTCACTCTTGCTTACGTCTACATCTGGGGCCTGGCGCAAACGCCCTAGCACGTTGCTATTGTATTCATTATATTGGACGTCATAGGTTTCATTACTTTGCTCTGAGCTCTGTCATCATGGCGACCTCGAGCTCTGCGAATCCTGAGGCACTGGGTGTCCTGTCAGACATGGTCAACCAAACGGTACGATTGCGTCAGATCCGTCTTTCCAGGCATAATCTAACAGCTTGAAGCTTATTGACACTGGTCGTTTCTTCCGCTCATCGGGATCAATGCAATCAAGAGCTCAGTTGAAAGCGGCGATCCCTTCTGCATACGAAAATTTCCAGCTTGCGCTAGACAATCTATCAGAACAGATTGTAGGTCTGCTTGAATAAATCCCCGTTTTAAAGACTCTCGATCACCCTTAAAAAGCCTAAAGATAGCTCTCCTTACTACATATTACTCACGTGAACATAGTTTATCGCCAAGGCACTTTTAGAGAAAGAATATGAAGCTATCAAGGCCAGGAAAGCGGCTGCACCGTCTCCAGCACCGGCCACTGTTCCCAGTGAATCTAAGCCTGCAGAAGACGTGACAATGGCTGAGGCTCCTACTACAGTAGACACAGCCCAGGATGCAGCAGAAAAGCCCGGACTTTCAGAGAATACAGAGCAATCTGAGACGATACCATCCGAAGTGAATGCAGAGACTGATGCCAAGATGGACGGTTCTGCACCGGCGGCGAAGAGCACTCCTGAGAGGGAAGCCGTGAAGACTGAGAAGCAAGAGGAAACGACGAAGACGGGTGATCAGGCGCACCCATCAACATCAGGAGAGGAATTGAATTTCGATTCCGTGCTTCCTGTCACCGGTGATGGCGCTAATGACTTTGACATCCATCTGAATTTTGCCAACGATGAGATCGGGAACCAGAATTTCCTCGCAGGGACCAATTTTATGGACTCCAACGCTGGCAACGTGAATGCCGGTGGGACGAACAACAACGAACAAGCCCGGGATCAGCAGCAGCAGCAGCAGAGCTCGATCAACTCGCTCCTCCCGGGACTGGAGAGCTACGCCGCCAATAATGCGGGAGACGATTTCAACATTGAACTGCAAAAGTTCAACGAGGAGATGAACCGACAGTCCAACGGGCAGAGGAACGCGGGGCAGGACGAGGTCATGGCGCCAGGCGAGTCGAGCTTTGATGATCTTTTTATGGAAAAGGACAATTCCGGGGGCGATGGCGACGAGAATATGCTGGGAGGGGACGGATTGGTGAATATTGGCGACTTGGACGACTCGTGGTTTAATTAATCGAATGGCATGTATGTACTTGAGACAGAATCATATACGATAAAATATAATGCTACAACGACGCTGGTGATGTCTAGCCAGTAATACACGTTCACACAGCCCGGAAATAAAAAACAAATCTCGTGTAGGCAAATAATTGTCTTCGTATTTTCCAAATCATACCATTATTCCATCAGTTCAGTAGACAGTCATCCCTCCTGGTTTGGCAAGACTCTGCCATGCCATCGAGCGCGGACCGGCTGGAACACATAGACCGGCATGTAGGTATGCCATCTTTAGTTTAAGCATTAAAAAATAGTAAATTTTCTTTTGACAATTGACACCAGAGAGGCTATTATCAACAGGTTAGATAGGTAGATTACTCTGAAACTAGCCAAAGTATACGTATGTACTTCTGAGTCTTTGATGACGGGAGCGGGAGTAAGTATACTTATCCGTTAGCTAGCTATTCTTTACCAGGTATACGAAGCAGTAGATCAGTATCGATCATCCATCATGTTCGATTTTCTCGAAAATTCCATGGTTAGGTACCTTTACTTTTACCTTAGGTAATAATTGCCTTTTTTTTTTCAGCGGGCTCGGCTAAATAAATAAAAAGCTAACTTACCTAACTAAAGAATTTGATTGAAAGAAGCAGTGCTGTGCTGACAAATTGAAATCACATGCACTCTTAGTCATTCGCTTGCAATAACTAGTTAAATATACTCCTATAAGTCAGCCACTGACTCAGGTATCTTCCATTTTAGAGTAAACTAAATTAAACGTTACGCCAGTATGAGGTTCCCTTGATTGATTAATTAATTGATTTCGGTGGTAATAGTCGTAGTAGATTCGCCCCGATGGCGAGGTACAGTACATGTACTCCGTAAGGCCAGATATAGGAAACGCATGATTGGTGCTCGAAGTCGATCCGAAATCGATCTTCTTCTTTTTTTTTTAATTAATCGTCGATGGATTATTGTTTTGTCTGGAAAAATGCCGGGTCCTGGGCCGAAGAAGGAGTGGCGCGGCAGATCCGATCCAGACAAAAAACCTCAGGATGATGTAATACGGCTTCGCCACGCCTTCTGTAGAGCCAACGCTGTTGTCCAGGAAGCAGGGAAACTGGCCACAGCACAGTCGACTGCCGGAGACGTCTTCCGCAATGAGGAAACTGTACATCAGACTATCATGGAGATTATTCACGACCCGATCAGAAAGGACACAGTGACGTCCTCCAACGGCACGCATGTGGCGCACGGAAAGCAGGCCGAAGGACAGGGCCGGGTGATGAGGTCATCGATCGGCTCGCAGCTTCGCAACCGTGAAACGTGCCGTGGACGGCGTCGACCAAAGACATGGCTCTGGACCGTCTCTTCTGGTCTGTTATTGTTGTTCCTAATGAGGGAAATATGGATGGGCGTCCGTAGAGCTGTGCTGGATTGCAGCCTCGGGCAGCAAGAGTTTTCACTTGCAGCTTTACAGTCTGGATGTAGGCTAGCCAAACATGTGACACGGTGACGACAGTGATGTCGGTAAGCCACCGCCTGACTAAGGATGCTCTAGTCGATCACTGCGAGCCGATCATTGCTTGATCAGTAGCATGGGACGTGTCTGCTGCTGAAATTTTTACTGTGAAGCTTCGCACGCGAAGGGGTCCGCAATTGCGCTACGCTTAGCCTGGCGGTCGGTTGGCTGAGAATGCTTCGTCCAGGCTGGGATCTGCCGCTAAGCTAAGCGATGATCCCCCGCAACCACCGGCCGAACTATCGCTGCTTGCTGATGAGAAACAGCCTCTCTGGCGCCCAGAGGCTGCATGGCATCAGTTAAACGACATGCATCTGTCCAGTGTCATTGCACATCATCGATTTCTTGCTCATGGCCAGCACTCGTTGCGATCGACTGGTTGGCTCGCGTCGACGGAAGTGCAGCGCCGATGCTGCACTGTCCTCCGTCAACTCCGCCCAGCCGCAGATGCCCATTTTAGAACATCGACCGTCGATGTGATTGTCCAGAGCATCAGTCAACCTTGTTTTGTCTTTTCTTTTCTTTTTCTCTTTTTTTTTTTGTCGACTGCTGTGTACGGAGGACTTCCGTCCACTCCCTCTGTCCCGATCCCGAGTTTTGGCCGGAGCCAGCAGTGCGGAATCGAGGGAATTAAGATTTCTTTTCTTCTGGGTCGCTGTCCGGCTGCGTTGCCGACCGGCCCGTCCACAGCAGCTAAGCATCCGTAAGCAGCGGCGATGATGCACCAGACAGGTGGGCTGGATCGCCGCAATAGTCAGCGTCGCCCGGAGTGTTCGTTAATGGTTAAGCGATAGGGGAGCCCACCTGCACCGCTGGGCCCCCGCTGGCCCCAATCCACGGCTCCCGCGTCATCATCGCCAGCCTGGACTGCATTCCGGTTGAAAAAGGTCCTTGCCGCCGCAGAAACCGGGCATCCCCAGTCGATATCTATCTTGTATAGCGTGCACGGCCTGAGAGCTCCCCTCCCTCTCTACCGCCCTTTTGTCGCCGACTACTCCGTACTCGCCGTTGCACTGGCCTTCGCATCCGCCGCGGCGTTGGTCCCGATTTTTGAGGCTAGACCTGGATGACCTGTGGCATGAACCCATCGCATCACACGACTGCCGTGCTTGCCTCCTGACCGCGTGTGGGACTGCCGCTGGTGCAGATTCCTCGTCCATACTTTTGTTGAGGGTCTGTCGTCCTTCCTGTCGAGCTAGCTATATACATCCTCATTGTAAGTGTCCGTCCCGTCCGACTTGATATACTCTCCGCCCTGTCGCTCTCAGCATTTGCACCCATTCCCCATGCCTGCATGACGAATAATAATAAAAAGGACAAGCAGTGACTGGTGTCTCAAAAAAAAAGGCCCATCTTTTTTTCCCCTGCGTGGTTGTCCACTCTATACCATAAGAATAATAGTTGGCCCGCGCTGTGCAACACTGCCAGCTGGGCCTGGGGCAGCTAACTATTTATTATTGAACCTGTCTTTGCCTCTCCACGCTTGCGGTGGTGGTCGCTCGCTTCTGGACCTCTGCAGACAATGATGGCCGCTCAACTCAGTTGTCATCATCCTCCTCTTCCTGCGTCGCATTCTCCTGCAGTCTCTGATGCTAATGATGAGCGGATCGACCAGTGCTCGCGGACGTCGTCTCCGGACGCCTTCCACTTAGTCCTTCCCCGTCGCTTCCGCCCTGCCCGCCGCGGCTCGACTTGCAGCACCTCCGACAGCTCGCCTTCCGCATCGGCCGCGTCCAAAGCGTATCACAGAGATCTGGTCCTGTTGCTGGGAAAGCTGGCGGGGTCTCGGGAAAACGCAAAGCGATTCCTTCGTTTTCGAGCGTCGTCCAATCCCTCGTCGTCGTCCCAGACCTCTGCCTCTCCGCCGCGGCCGAGGTCGAGACGCGCCCGCCCGATCTCTGAGATCATCCTGCCCTCCAACAATGCGCAGATGGCGCCGTCGATGGATCCGGATGTGATTGGCAATCGCTCGAGCTCGCCGTCTACCCATTCCATGACTGGCGGAGTGGCCACGCGACCGGCGTCCCGAGACCACAGCCCTGAGCCAGACGTTTCCCCGAGTTTTCCGACCTTGCGCAACGAAAAGGTCGTCGCCACGGGAAATGGCATTACGGTCAGTATCGCGCTTGCGGAGCCGGTGCTCTTTCTCCCCGGCTATGACCATAACGATCCGAGCACGAAGAAGTCGGCCATTCTGCGCGGACATCTGCATATCAAAACGACAAAATCCGTCAAGATAAAAAAGATATCTGTCTGCTTTCGGGGTCACGCGCAAACAGATTGGCCGGATGGTAAGAACAGACGTCTGCATGGCGAGCGCTTGCGACCATTCTGCTAACTCTCATTTCTAGGGATTCCACCCAAGAAAGTGCACTTTCATGACAAGAAGGACCTCGTGACTAATGGTATGGTCTATTTCAACCATGGCGACACCGCTCTGGTGCAGAACGAGTACGGCGCCCACTGCTACAAACTAGCCAAGCCGCATCCGTCGAGCACGACGAAGGAGCTGAAGGTTCCGGGAGTGACCGCTACAACGCGCGAGCTTCTGAAGAGTGGATCGACGACGTCGGTGCACCGGGAGACTGCGAAAGAAATCAAACGACTGTCTCTACAGTCCAACCACTCGCGCAGCTTTGGAAAGAATGACCCGCCGCCGAGCACGCAGGCTCACACCTCGCGCTCCTACCGAGTTTTCCCCCCTGGTGACTATCTCTACGCCTTCGAGTTTCCCATCGATGGTTCTCTCCCGGAGACGATCAAGACCGAACTGGGTTTCGTGCGCTATGATCTCGAAGCCATCGTGGAGCGATCCGGTGCTTTCCGGCCGAATCTGCTGGGTTCGGTCGAAGTTCAGGTCATCCGGACCCCAGCCGAGGGATCCTTGGAACAGGTGGAGCCGATCGCCATTTCGCGAAACTGGGAGGACCAGCTTCATTATGACATTGTCATCTCGGGGAAATCGTTTCCTCTGGGGTCTCAGGTCCCAATCGCATTCAAATTGACGCCGCTGGCCAAGGTGGAATGTCACCGAATCAAGGTGTATGTGACCGAGAATATCCAACATTGGACTTCTGACAAGTCCGTCCATCGCTTCCTGCCTCCCAAGAAGATCCTCTTATTTGAAAAACGCGCCGATTCACATAGCGTGAGTGCATATCCGGGGAGCACCATGCGTGTGACGGCTGGCGGTGGCGTCAGTTGGGATAACCGGGAAGCTGCCGCTCGAGGTGAGGAACAGGTCGATCGGAACAGTACGAGCCTGCTAGGAAACCTCTCGAATGATACTGGAGTTGGGCCAACGGAGATGGAGTTCAACGTGCAGCTTCCCAGCTGCCATGCGATGAAGGGAAGGGATGAATCGCAACGGCTACATTTCGACACCACCTATGAGAATATTCAGATCAATCATTGGATCAAGGTAAGTCGGCCTCCTCTCGCGCACTAACGTGCGCCCGGTGCTGATGGGTCGTCGCAGATCGTCATGCGTCTGTCCAAAGTCGACGAGAAGGATCCTTCGAAACGACGACATTTTGAAATCTCGATCGATTCTCCTTTCCATATCCTCTCCTGCAAGGCCACGCAAGCCAACATCTACCTTCCGGCATACAGCACTCCGTCGTCCGATCCGGTGATCCCACCAGAAGAGTACGAATGCGGATGCCCTGATGCTCCAGTGACCCGCCGCAATGGGTCTTCGACTCCCTCTTCGGACCGCGACGGCGGTCGAAGCTTCACGTCTGGATCCGGTGGCGTAGCGCGCCCGGAGCAAGCGCACTTGGCTCATGAGCCCAACGAGCGCGAGGCTCGTCCCATGCATCTTCTCCGCGCGCCGTCTTTTGCTCCGCCGGCGTTTGACGAGGTTGAGCCGCCCCCGCCGCCGTTGGTCACGCCGCCTCCGGATTACACGTCGATCGTGGGAGACACGGATCAGGAAGCGGTCCTGACCGACTACTTCCAGCGGCTGTCATACTACGAGGAGCATGAGGAGGAGGAGCGCGGCACGGGTCGAGTCGATGTTCCTCTCACGCCCGGGGGCCGCGTCAACCGCAGCATGGACGTGCCACGGGAATGGGTTCCTCTGGGCGAGTCGACTGTTCAATGAATTCAATGCGCACGCGACACGATATCGTTACGTCTCAGCTTAATGTTTTACGACCGACGAGTCACGACTGACGAGGTCTGGGAATGCGAAGAAAACACTACGATAGACCGGCATTTTGATGTATACATGTATGTTTTATATAATCGATATCTGCCATGTATGAATTGCATGCACGGGGTTTGGGACTGCATTCGGAGTTTCAGCATGCTCTTGACGGGATTGGGATTGTGTTGGACGGGTCATGGGTCGATTTCCTGGCGAGGGTTTGAATGGTGTTACTCGGGGAAAAGCATGATGCACGATATGCACGATTACGAGTCCCTATCCGTTGTTCATACTCTTGTATAGTGACTATGTGTGTAGTAATACGGAGTAATTGTGCGGAGTTCATTCCGCTGTTGCATCTGAGCCGTATTCCATGCCTTTCCTCGTCTATATTGTCGTCATCCTTCTTGTCCATCGAGTTCACCTGTATGGCCAAGAGACTCCGCACGGCAAGGCGACGATAAGCGATAAGACAACCGCATGCACTTGCCTAGCTTGGCCTAGAGGGCAGGGCTGCTTCCCGCAGTATGCGCCATCCAGCTCCTTCCTGCCTTGACTGCAGAAGCAGGCCGATTGCCGTTCCAATAACTTATAAAGAAGGAGCGCCCCCGCTCTCGTTGTTGCTTTGCATCTGGCCTGATCTGGTCACCTGAGCTGGCACTGCATCTCGCTCTTTCCCTCAATCGCTTTCTCCGCTCGCCCCGCCTCTGTCGCAGCTCGCCTTACCATCTCCACCGGATCTCTTATCTATCCGAGCCGGGAGCTGACCTTGCTGACAGTGTCGATTGTCCTGCAGACAGCCCTGTGCAGCAGTCTCAGAGTCGGAGTGTTTGTCCTCCATTCTTTTCTTGCCCGGCTGCCTTCGATCTGTTTCTGCTTATCCAGCTGCAGTCACGCCTGGGGTTACACAGCGTGGATAGATGAGAGGCTCTTTCAGAACAGCTGGAACACTGGCAAACACAGCGGTGGCATCTGCAGATAAAGAGACAGTCAAGAAACGCCTCAGTTTTCCCGCGCCTGCTCTAGTCGCTTTCATTGTGTTTCTCTCCCAGGGACAACTGCTCTTGCTTGGCTGGTCCCGTACATCGATGCCCGTTTTTCCACTCCTGCAGACAGCTGCCAGCAGCAATTTTCCTCTTGAGAATCATTCACGTGGCTTCCCTTGAACATCTAGAGAAATGTCAGTCAAGATCGTTCCGCTGACCAAAGGGGACATCCCTGGCGCCGTCGAATGTATCCAGCAGGCCTTTGCCGACGACCCTTACTACCGCTGGGTTTTCAACGATCCTTCCAAGGTATGTATTGTATAGCCAGTTCACACGACTGGATGGTACATGCCATGATCCCGGAGTTGATGCTCTCTCCCGTTGGTTGCAAGACGTGCCTGGAGATGGTTTTCGATCTGCAGAATCAACTCGAGCTAACACTCTTGCCTTGTTGTGTAACGCGGTCGATAACACGACTCGCGGTTCTCATGATTGGTGTTTGATGCTATAGTTCAATAAACAAAGAAACATCAGCTCGCTCACGGCCCGTTGCTTGTGGGGGATCAACAATGCTCTCTTCTTTGTCGCGAAGGAGGCCGACAGCACGTCTTCGGACGCACCGTCCAAGGTCGTAGGAGTGTCTTGCTGGCTGCCGCCTCATCCGCCGTCTGAACCTGAGAGTTGGTACTCGTGGTTTCAGTCGTGGGTTCTCTCGTTCCGCCAGCTAGTCAACAACATTCGATACTGGGGTCGCGGCGGCCTCAACACGAAGCGGTACTGGATCTGGAAAGCCCGGCAGGAGGAAGTCCAGAAGGAAATCTGGACGGACCCCCGGGGCTACTATTTCTGCAACATCGTGGCCGTGAGTCCCCACACCCAGGGGAAAGGCGTGGGCCGGAAACTGTTCGAGGTTGTGACAGATCGGGCGGACCAAGAGGGAATGAAATGCTACCTCGAGAGCTCGAAGAGCGTGCCCAACGTGGAGATTTATCGGAAGCTGGGCTTCGAGGTGGTAAAGAAGATGGAGTGTGAGGATGAGGGGGACGTGTGTCAGGTAAGAACTCATAGAAATAAGACATGGAGTCCCGCTGTCGTCTCGTCCGTTGAGTCGATAGCTGTTGCTGACTGATCTCCAGCTATATTGCATGGTCCGGGAGCCAAAGACAAGCAAAACCAGCTGAAGCAGGAATAACAGGATGTCCTGGAAAAATAACCCAAATATGACTACAATTTGATGTCAGATTCATATCATGGTTATCATGGACCTACTTATCAGACTGATTATCCACAGGGGGTTTCTTTCTTTTCGTTTCAATGAGTCGTTGCCAACATACTGCTTCATTTTATCATGTTAAATAACTCGATGACTAGGACCAGGATGATTTCACCACTAAATTGAATTGACAGTTGATTTTCTTTACGTTGAATATGGGACGGTATACTATCTAACTAGTAAGTCTACCTACTAAGCTAGTAAAGGTATGTATGTACAGTACATATACCGTATGGACCAGGCCTCCATACATAAGTCGAGCTCTATAGATTTTTTTCTTTAGTGTTGAGTCACAGATGAGGAATATTATCAAGGTATTAATTACTATTATTATTGTTGTTATTATTGACTGAGCAAGCTTACTACAATTTAATTAATTAGTGCGTTATTGTCTGACTGATTATTCTCTGATGCACTGGTGCGACAAACAACTGAAGCACACTACGCTACACCACACAACACCACAGCACACCACACCACATTAAAT